GTAAATACCATAAACTGCTAACACCTGTGTCTATAGCTATATATTTACATTACATATCCAACCCTCTCCTTACACACCTATACATGTACATACACAATGCAAACACTAATGATGGGCTCTCACCTTTGCTCTTCTCCTGATAAGGATGTGATTATAAAGAGTTGTCACATTTAAGACATTCAGTCCCTTTTTACTCTGAAGCTTTCTAACTGATTTGCTGTGCTCAGCAAACACAACCAGTTCTGGACTTGAGAGTGACGCATTACAATGAAAAGGCTTGCTGGCACGAAGGGGACAGCCTGTGTCCTTCTCTCCTGCTTCACCAGCTTACTTGGGGTACAGCACAAATGATACTGACCTTTTCCCATTAAATTCTGGTAATTTATTGAGCCTTCAGGTTTCAGGTAACCATAAACACAGCCCTGCCCCAGAAGCTTGCTATTAAAAGGGTCATTCTCTAAGTTTAGAAACGGGAAAATGGTTAAAGGAGAGTTTTTTATATTGGTATTGTATTGTCTGGGCCAACTCAGACAAGATGAGCCTTTTTTATTTACTCATTTAGTTGCTGTGATTATTCAAACTACCCCAGCCACTTTAACCCGTGTGTAATTCAAGAGAGGCTACACCTGAGATGAATTTGGCTCCTTTTGTACATTCTTAAAGGGGTGATTTGAGCTGCAGTAAAAATTCTGCAATCAGTTCAGGCAGCTGTTTGCAGCTTTCTGAGCAAACACTAATAGCCTGGAGGTAAAAGCAATACAGAGTAGCAATTTCTAAATGTCCCATCTAATTGAGCAGGGATAATGAAAACAAAGAATAAAAAAAACAAGCCCTCCAGCATGTAAACAAATAGTTCAGATGCACCCATTCCTCATAGCATCAACATACTTGCCATCAGACTAGCTCTGTGCTGATCTTGTCTTGCGCAAACACTTCTGAACCCTTCCCTTGGTGTGGGATACAGTTTTAGTGCTTCTCAGCCTTTTTCACCGGGAATGCTAAAACAACTGTGCTTGCCATGACCCATTCATTCCTCAGCATCTTCTGTTGACATGAGAACTTGAGATTCAGCTCCCAGCATCTTTACCAAGGTGAGGTAAAGATGAGCTTGTGGTTGGACAACACAGGTTGGTTGGAGGGGATTGAGGAAAGGGAAATCCTTCTGGACAGAGAGTTGGTGGGAAATCCCAAAATGCAGAGGAAGGGTTTGAAACTGGGGCACTTTCATTTCACTTTGCCTTGATCCCAGCTGGGGACCTGTGACCCCACAATCATCTCATGTACCCACTTGGGAAAACATGAATGAGGGACTGGCAGGAGTTTGTGGGTCACCAAACACCTTTATAAATGCAAGAGTCATTAGGGACTAAAAACTAAACTGTACATCCTTACTCCTGTACTGCTTAGAAAACCTTTGCTGACTTCTAGTTTGAATTACCTTGTGGCCAATTTATTAGTATCTATTCATGTGCCAATGCAGTCCTTTTTGTTTTGACGCTTTCCCTGGTTCTCTTTCCTCATTCTGTCCCTCTGACCCATCCTCATGGAAAAATCCATGCTTTGCAGCCCCTCACTTCTTAAATGAGCCACATGTATTTAGTTGCCTCTTGCAATATCACATTGTTTTCTACATCCAAACATAACCCCTTTTTTAAAATCCATTCCAGGACAAATTCCCTCTTTGACCATGAGCAACCAGAGTGTTGCACACTAGACCAGGTAAGATAGAGTCTTACAAATGCCTGATGTTGGCACGAGCATCTCCCAGTCCCACCGGCAGCAGGGAGGCGCGCTGTGCTTGCAGCCTGCGGGCGCCGGGATGTGTATGTGTGGGAGAAGCCTGGAAGGATGGGCTGCGTGGGAACATGGCTGGATGTTCCCAGATGTGATTCATGGACAGCACATGTGCGAATCATGGTGAAGGCAGACACGCTTCATCTAGTGTATCCCAGATGGGATGCAGCAAGACACAACTCGAGGGAAGAGCACGTCTCAGGAAGCCCATCTCCAGGGTGTCCCTCGGAGTAACGAGATCCTCGCTGGTGAACCACATTTTGCAGAGGGAAGAGAGATATATCCTCAGTTAAAATACCCTTTTCCACAGAGTTTGCAGGGAGTGCACAGTGGCACATCGCCTTCCTGACCTCTGAAATCACTGCGTTTCACTGCTGCTGGGTGGCATAGAAAATGCCACTCAGCTTCTGACCGGTTGTACAGCAAATATCTGGTGGCCCCAGATCCATCTGGGGCTGGATACTGAGTACATGTAGACACATGCCCACTCCTTCCCGGACGTGGAGTGGAAAATACCAGCATTCCAGGAGTTACCAGGCTTATCTGATTTGGGAGGAGGTCCGTGGCTTGGCTATTTATATCCAGTTATTTGGGAATTTTGCAGGTGCATTTGAACTACAGAGTCCCTGTGGGGAAAGAGAAAGAATTAAATTAAATTACCTTAAAAATCTTGAGTGCAGCAAGGACAGAAAACATTTCTGTGTGATGTTCGTGCCCGGAGTGGCACTAGCGGAACCTTCCCTCGGCTGCTGCTGCCCCTTGGTGCTGTGGCTGGATGGATTTCCAGTTCCTATCTGTGCAAGACACCATTTCTGAGAGCCCAGCCATGTGCTGAGCTGTGCGTGTGAAGTAGGAAGCACTGTACATAACTCTTAACACCACTTGTAGAGGGCTTGCTGTCCATAGGCACTATGTATTTAAAAGCACATGGCCATTTTTCACCCTCGGCCGTCTCATCAGCCAGAGAACGCTCCTAAAAAAACTGATCAGAAAGCAAGTTTTACAGTGACAGAATACAGTGCTTTGAATGTGTGAGACTGACATTCTTTAAAACAACTTTTCAATATTTCCCCTTTTAGATCCTGACCTAACGGCAGAGGCCAGAGCATCCCCAGCACAGGTACCTGGGCAGAGCCCCTCCTGCCTTGCTCAAACCAGATGTCTCAAATCAGTGAGACTTTTGTACAAGTTTCATTGTCCAAAGCCCTGCTCTGAGCTTTAACACCGAGAACAAGATGTCAGGAAAAGTGCCGGTGCTTTGTGCCGAGAGGCAGCCCTGCAGTATTGAAAAGACAGCGGGTCTCCAGCCCAGATTTCAACCAATCCATAACAAAAACACTAAGTTCCAATTTTAGTAAAATCTAGATGCCCAGAAGCATCATTTATTGCAAATCAGTTAACCAAAAAAAATACATCATTTTTGCAAACTACAACTTTGCATGTAGATAGCTTTATTACAGAAGATATCTTTTCTTAAACTACACTCTAGTTTATAAAACATAGGAAGATTCAACACCACGTGATGTTTTTAATCACTCATATTAGGCATGTCACAATAACAACGGTCTGAAATGTTGACTAAGATGAGTGCTCAGCAAGGCGCTGTGCCTTGAGAGATAGCCATTTTATTTGGTGTTCTAATAAAAAGGAATGAGGAAAAGGAACCCTTTTCTTAGGTTTTCTTGATTAACTGCTCTCTATTTGCCTGTCCCATACACATATCTAGTCTCAGGGTGTCCACTTGCCTTTGCACCCGAGTGAGTGATATTCCAACACCTCTATAAGGTGATATATTTAGGATATATTTAAGACTTGCTCCTTTAGATTTTTGAAACAAAATCCACCTTTTCTTAAAAAAAAACCCCAAAACCATATTTACAAACATTAAATCTGCCACAGGCTTATACTATATTTTACATGATACACA